TCCCCAAACTCCACTTTTTGACGACACACAACTATGTTGTAGTAAAAATATTATCTTAACTTTATGATGGTATGCACACACAATTAATAATTAAGAGAAATATCAATAATATTAGGTTTTTTAACACTTACATTAGTAGAAAAAATGGCTGGGCACACGGGGATGGGCGGTTGGTTCCGAGGCAGAGGGCAGATTATTGGCCCTCACCTGTGTCACTTGTATCAATTGTATCACTATCCACCACAGAGGCTTGCAGGGCCTCTTTGTCAAACTCCCCAAAGTCCATATAAGTCCATATCCTCACCATAATTATCACTATCACTGACTTGGGCCGGCTGTGGTGGGTGGCGGGTGAAGAACTGGTAATGTTTTGATGACTGGGCGACCTTGTGCGCACCATGTTCGCGCCGCTTACACAACATGGCGGATGGCGGGAGGTTTGGATCCAAAAATGGCGCGGCTCGCCAGCAGCTCTCCGCGTAAATGGGTACACGCCCCTCGGAATGTGAGCATCCTGGGTTCTGGCAGGGCACCGCGTAAACGTGGAAACGCGGAATGTGGGACCGCATAAAGTGAGGGTTAACTGTAATCGGTTCTAGGGCTTAAATTCCTTACTATTTTAGTAAAGTATCAAGAAGTTTATACTACTCAATAATTTTAAAAGTTTAATATTAATTTTTGTAGTAATTTTAACAATTATTGAACATAATTGAAGGTAATGAAACTAGTTTTATGTGCGCCATCCAGCCTGGCAACACACCAAACAAGCGTTAGTTTCTCTCTGTTTTCAGTGGAGGTAACATCTTGCTTGAGACTCTCTTCAACTAAATGCTTTTTTTCTGTGTTTCTAAGCAAATTATTGGTCATTTTGAAATTTATTTTACATATTGACAATATATAGCGCAGTGCAGTGTTATTTTAAAGAAAATATTCTTTATTTACAGCCAGTTTAGACTTAAAATATCACGTGTTGAGATTGTTTGAATCCAGCATGGGGCCTAAGAGATCAAGAAAAGTGATTTCAATCCAAACCAAGCAGGAAATTATAAAAAAAAACGTGAAGAAGGCATTAGGACAAATGCGCTATGCAAAGAATATGGCATGTCGACATCAACTGTGCCGACAATTCTTGCACAGAAAGACAAATTTAAAGAAGTGAAAGTGAGAGACAAATCTACCAGTGTTTAAAAGTAGATCCCTAATTGCAGAAACAGAGAGGTTACTTATCATCTGGATTAGGGAGAAACAGATGAAAGGTGATTCAGTTTCTACTGAATTTATTTGTGAAAGAGCTAGGGAGATTTACGAACATTTAAAGGCAGATCAACCTGGTTCTTCAGGCACAGAAGTTGAAGATTTTAGGGCCAGCAAAGGCTGATTCGAAAAATTTAAGAAAAGGAGTGACATTTTTAGTGTTGTTAGGCATGGTGAGGCTGCTAGTGCTGATAAGGAAGGGGCAGCAAAGTTTTTAGTGGAGTTTAAAGAACTGGTGGAAGAAGAAAATTATCTTCCACAGCAAGTGTTCAATGTGGACGAAACTGGGCTGTTCTGGAAAAAGATGCCCAAAAGAACGTTCATCACCCGAGACGAAGCCTCTTTACCTGGGCATAAACCCATGAAAGACCGTCTCACTCTATTGCTTGGTGCCAATGCTTCAGGAGATTTCCGACTGAAGTAGGGTTGCCATACGTCCCTATTTTCCCGGACATGTCCTCCATTTAGGTCTCGAAATCTTCATCCGGGAGGAATTTTTTAAATTCTTTTAAAGTCCGGAACTTCAGCTTCCATCATTTTCTCCACGGAAAGAAACATGAAACTGTAATGACGAGAGAGAGAGAGAGAGAGAGAGAAACTGTGAGAGAGGGGAGGTGGAAACAGTAGAGATCTTGTTCAGTTTTCGTCAGCTGATAAGTCACGTGTACGCCTGTACGGTGTTGTCAACTTAGCTGCTAGCAGTTTTTGGGGTAACCTGTAGTGCCATGTACTGCTTTTCTTTGTTCTTCAGCCACGCGCATTATAGTTTTTTTTGTATTTAGTGCTATTACAGCCATAAATGAAATGATGAAAGTATACCATTTTTTCTTATGGCTTTTTTACACTGTAGCATTTGTTTTTCTTGTGCTGAATTTAAGGCATTTTAGCAATTTTCAACCATAATCTAGCCACTTTCGCTATATTATTTACGTGTGTCGACAACTATGACGGTGACCGGTGGTTGGCCAGTCTTTAACCTGCAGTGACAGTGTTTGATCTTAGTCTTTGTTGTGAGTTTGTCGCTTGGTGCCACAGCCAGTGCTTACGATTTGTTGTACTTTTCCAGACATGTATCATTGCCATGACTGATAAAGCAAAGCAAATAGAAGGATGTCAAACAGAACGTCCTTTTTAATGTTCAGATATGGCAACCCTAGACTGAAGCCTATGCTTGTCTACCACTCTGAGAACCCCAGGGTGTTCAAACAACAAAAAGTGGTAAGAGGAAAGCTTGGAGTTTATTGGAAGTCCAACCGTAAGGCATGAGTGACAAGACAGCTCTTTAATGAATGGGCTGTTGAGGTGTTTTGCCCTTCTGTGAAGAGCTACCTAACCACCAATAAACTCCCTTTAAATGCTCTTCTCCTCATGGATAATGCTCCTGGTCATGACCCTGACCTTGCCAGAACTTTGGAGTATCAATTTGACTTTGTGAAAGTGTTGTTTTTGCCTCCAAACACTACATCAATCATACAGCCAATGGACCAGAATGTGATCAGCAACTTCAAGAGGTTGTACATGAAGAAAATGTTTAGGAGGTGTCATCAGGCAACTTCCAATGATCCTGAACTAACACCGAAACATTTCTGGAAGACACAATTCAACATCCTGGAGGCTGTAAAATTGATTGTGTCATCATGGCAATAAGTCTCCAATAGATCCCTTAATTCTTCATGGAAAGCACTGCTTTAACACTGTATTTTTGGCTGATTTTGTTCTGGTACAGTAATGTAGAGCATTGCACAACACAAATTGTCCACAAAAACAGCAGCTAGCAAGGGAACAACCTTCTACAATGGCAGCAGAATATGAACTGAGCGATCCAAACAGCTAGGCCGCCCACGTCCCTGTCATGTGGGGATGGGTTGGAGCATGATGCAATCTTTTGGAATGCCCTGAAAATTTATTCCCAGACCCAGAAATAAAACTGTGTTGAGATTTTCCCAGAAATTTTCTTGGAATTTTCAGAAAATGTACCTAATTTTCAACCTTGGAATTTGTTCCCAAACCCGGAATTGAGAAATTTTCCGGAAAAATTCTGAGCAAATTTCAATTCCAGCTAATGGAGTGTTTCACTTAAGAGGGATTCTGGCTAATGGAGATACACCTGTATTACTTATTAGCATTGAAAATATTAGGTGGTTCCCAAAGAACTTTTACGATTTTAACCTCAAAAGTTTCCTCACCCTTGCTGTACAGGCTGCTGGCTAGGGGATCAAGGTCTCCACACTCTCCCCATAATGCACATCAGGGTTCATCTGTTAGAGTTCAGCAGTTCCCAAACTTTTTAGGCCACACATCCCTTTCCAAGCTCGGGCAGAGTTGGTGCACCCTACCACTTTTCATTGTAACACACTTATGTATAAACAGTGTACTATAAATGAGCACATGTCAAACAACCAATGTTATGACGTCTTTGGAACATGAATATTGTTACGTCGCTACTTACCTATTAATGTAAAGGATGTGTCTGCATTTTAGCACAAAAGTCAGTGAAGTTGGAAGCAATTGAGACAGTTTCACTCTTAAGTCTTTCTCAGCATCTAACCTCTGACGATACTTTGTCTTCACTGCTGTTAGCACAGAAAAACCAGCTTCACATAAGTACGTAGTAACAAAGGGCATCAATACACTCAAGGCTCTCTCTGATAAGGCTGTTCGTGAAATGACAGATGTGGGACTGGGGGGGAAACTACAAATGGATTGTGTATCCAGGTCTGAGATGAGTTCCAGATGGGAAAATAACTTTGTAGCTGTTGGCCCAGTTGCTTGAGGTGTCCTGTTATTAGGCCTATCACATGCTCATGTAAGACACTTTCATTTGTTTCAATAAAGTCTTGTAGCATTGGAAAATAGTTAAGGGAATTTAAATTGATGCAGCTTGACCAGAATGTCAGTTTTTTAATCATTGCTTAAATCTTGTCGTGTGTGTTGAACACTGTGGCATTGAGGCCTTGGAGACAAATTCGATTCATTCAAAGCAAAAAAATGTCTGTCAAGTATGCTAGTTTCTGCAACCAGTCCTCTTCATGCAGGCAAGATGATAAATCACATGAGTTGTCCACAAAAAATTGCTGAACTTCGTATCTCAATTCCAAAAGCCTTGTCAGAATTCTGCCGTATGACAACCAGCGCACCTAAGTGTGCAAGAGAAGTGTCTTGTGTTCACTGCCCATTTCGTTGCAGAATAAAAAAAATTCTTGAATTTAGCAGTCGAGTTTTAATAAAGTCTTGAACGATAACAATTCCAAAATGAGCATAAATGTAACTCTGCCAGCTGGAGGGGTGCAGAGGGTGAGTCCTTGGCCATTCTCAATTCAAAATGTGTTAATATGTTTGCGTTTATATTAAGATAAATTTAATAATTCCTCATTATTCTCTATTTCTCGTGCACACCCTGAGGCCAGCTCACGCACCCTTGGTCACAGTTTGGGAAAAGCTGTGTTCGACCATTTGGTAACGTGGAGAGAGAAAAAATAAAAAATAAAATAAAATCACATTAACATTTATGGATTCCCTATTCCCCAAAATTGGAATGCGGTAACACGAAACTTCTACGGATGATGACTGCCGTCCCTACATGTAACTTCTACTGTTGATGGCTGCTATTTAAGATTAAAAGATAGTAACTTCATTTAAAATAATGAGTTATGCTGCCTACTGAAGACCCCTTATGTTGTGAGTAAAAGAGTAGGTGCAGCTAACAAAATGTACCATATCAGAACAAAGAATGTATACTTAAGAACCTGTGGTATAATGCTGAGGCAGCTTCTTAAATCATGGAGACCAAGCTTGGAAATGTTGATGCCATCAATTTCAATAGTACCACCATCAGCCTCAATAATTCTAAACAAAGCAAGTGTTAGGGATGACTTGCCAGCTCCTGTCCTCCCTACAATGCCAACCTGCAAAAAATATTTATGAAAAGTTGGTACTGTACTGTATATAAGTTTAGAGGCCAAAATAATGAGCATCCCATCATATTTAACAACAGTAAACTCTCCCAGCATGATACACACAAAAAATAGATAAATTACAAAGTGTCGGTGAATCATTCAACATGATCCTTCTGTCAATACTGTACTACCACTACTAGTCCCTGAGGGTGAAGGCCTATATGACCCACACATTAGTAGTGTGCAAAAGTGAATTAAGTTGAGAAGTTCAAGGAAGTAAATATGAGACTTCAAGATTTAAAAGATAAGGAGCTGTAATGTGGGGTCATACAGATAATGATATACTGGAGGCTGCCAGAGAGGTACACAGAAACAAAAACAAGATATAAAAAGAGAGAAACATCATGGTGGAATGTAGATACAGTATTAGACATTTATGGAATGAAGGAGTCTGTAAAGACATTTTAAGTTTGTCTGCAGATAGTGAAAAATAGAAGATATTGAAGTAAGAGTTAAATGTGCTTATGGGGAAGAACAGGGAAGGTTTAGGAAAGAAAAGGAAAAGCACTTATAAAATACAGGGTATTTATACAAAGACAAGTCATAGAGATATGCTTAGAAAAGAAATGTATATAATGTACTCATGGACTTAGGAGAAAGCATAAGGGTTAGTAAATATGAGAGTCCTATGGGAAGTGATCACAACAATTCAATGAAGTCTGTCAAGAATTGTTATGAAAGAGCACCACAAGTGTTAGTGGCTTACAATACCAGAAGTGTGTTGGGTGAGTAATGTCACCATGGTTATTTATGGAAGCAACAACAGGTGACTGGGCATCTAACACTCTTGGGTTTAGGGAGGTGTTGTCCAGTGAGACGCTCGGGGTCTGGCTTGTTACTCACCTCACAGCATTTGACTTCACCACACGAGATAATTGTACGTAATAATTAATAGCAAGCTTGCTGTTTGAGATAAAATGGTGGGATTTGTTTCATTAGCATTGTAAATAAATTATCTACAAACAGGTTTGTATAATTAATCATGATAAAAAAAATTATTTCTATCCGTAAATGCGAGTAGAACAAAAAAATTTTTTTTACGGTTAATAAAAATGTTCACACATCACTTTAAACCTTCGTTATTTCATGTGATTACAATATGAACTTTAATCCATTATAAAGCATGCAGGTTTAGCAAAAAATATTTATATTAGAAAAATTGAAAAAAAAAAAAATATTTCACAAGGTAATAGTGGTGTAAATTGTATGTTCTGATGAGCACGCCCAAGCCGGGTAAAGATTATAGGTATTAATTTTTTCCCTCTGAGTGCAAAAGATAATTGTATATACAGTAGAACGTCGATTTAAAGCGATTCAATTTAAGATTATTGATTTAAAGCGACACCCACAATTAAGGACAATGTTTTAATTTAAAGCGAATCTCTCCTATTTTGAGCAAGTCAATATGGCGCATCATATTTTAAAATTCACACCTAATGTTTCTCTGGGCATGCTACACTGTCCCAAGGACAAAGCTGTACTGTATATCTACTCAAAATAAGGATTACTAAAATATTTGTCTAGTGCAAACTATAGCATGATTATATTCAAATTAATCACTATCTTATAAGAATTCCAGCAATGTAAATTATATTCTGCCCAGTCACTTCTGTGACATTATATGAAAAAACCCCTCAATCTAAAGGACATGAATAAACAAATAAATACTTCACTAGCTCTTCGGCGACAACTTTCAAACATGTCACCTCCCCTTCCTCCCGCTCCCTCCCTCTCCCCCCATCTGCCCAGCCAGGGTTTTAGGCTTACAGTTTTATCTTATATAATATCACAGACTAGAGTTAGGAGAATATAATTTGCATTGCTAGAATCCGTGCAAGACCGCGAATAATTTGAATATAAACGCCATATATTTTGCACAAGAGATAAAAATTTAAGCCATATGTAATAAGTGTCAAATGTGAACTATAGCATTTTTATATTCAAATTAATCACTATCTTAAAAGAATTCCAGCAATGTAAATTGAACTGTATTCTCCCCGGTCAGTTCTGCGACATTTTATAAACAAAAAACAAAAACTCAATCTAATGAACATAAATAAACAAACAAATACTTCACTAGACCTTCGGCCCCAACTGTCAAACGTGTCACTTTTTACTTTTATCCTCTTCACCACTGATCGGCTTGTTAGCTGCTTGAGCGATTGGTTACGTCTCTGTTTCTTTTCCTTTTCTTTTATCCTCCTCACCAAATGATCGGCTCGTTAGCTGCTTGGGCGATCGGTCACGTCTCTGTTACGCACTGTTGGCAAGTACTGGGCATGCACCGGCTCCTGAATATACCTGTACCTGCTCCAGTGTTGGTCAAGTCTTGTCTTGAAAGAGCTCACACTCAGTAACGTCACAACACTTTCTGGTAGAGTGTTCTAAGAGTTCACAACTCTCACTCCTAAAAAGTTTGCCCTCACAGTTTTCTGGACTTGCAGCTTCTTCAATCTTGAGCTGTGACCCCTTGTGGGGCGAGCGTCCTCCAGCTCCAAGTAAGGACACTCAACTGGGTAGTACCCCCTGAGATGCCCCCTTGCCCGTCTGTAGTATAAGCTAGGCAAGTTCAGGCGGTCCAATCTCTCAGGGTAGCTGAGGTGCCGAAGTGCAGGCACCAGTCTGGTGGCCCTCCTTTGAACATTTTCAACCAACTGACAGTCCCTAGCATACCTCGGGGACCAGACGGGGTGACAATACTCCAGATGGGGAAGCACTTCACTGTTGAAGATCGTTACGAGGGACGGACCGTCTAGTTATCTGAACGACCTGATCATAAACCCCAATAATTTATTTGCCTGATTTATCTTCTTCTCGCAATGGCCCGAGAACTTCAGCTCATTGTCAACAAACACACCTAGGTCCTTCACACATTCAGTCTCAGATAGTGCAGTTTCTTCATTCCGTTGGGAGATATGCTACGCCTCCCTACCGTTGGTACGCCCCAGATGCATCCTCTTACACTTCATGACATTGAATCTCAGCAGCCATTTCTTCGATCATTCTTGGAGCCCACAGAAATCCTTCTGCAGCTCTTCACAGTCCGCTTGGTTCTTGATTTCCCGAAATAACTTGGCGTCATCGGCAAACATTTATATGAAGGAGTGTACAACGTCAGGCATGTCATTTAAAAAACAAACAAACAACAGCGGGCCCAATACACTGCCCTGTGGTACCCCGCTTATGACAGGTACGGATGATGATTTCATGCCATTAATCACCACACACTGCTTGCAGTCATGTAGAAAGACTTCTATCCACGCTAGGACATTTCCCCGAATTCCATACCCTCCCAGTTTTATTTTCAGCCTTTCGTGGGATACACTGTCGAAAGCCTTGGTAAAATATAGGTAAATACACCTGTATTGTTGATATTACCAACCCGTTCCAGATTATGGGTCCAAATATCCAATACCTTGAGCAATTGTGTTAAGCAGCAGTGCCCCAGCATAAAACCGTGTAGGCAATCTTTTACAAGGTTGTTTCGTATTAGATGTTCCATTGCGGCATCTCTGATAATACTCTCAAGTACTTTACATATTATGCTGGTCAGGCTCACCGGTCTCTAGTTGTTCGTGGAGTGGCGATCGCCCTTCTTAAAGATAGGACTCACATAAGTCACTATCCTTTCACTGGGGACCTTTTGTTCATCCAGGCATCTACAAAACAGGATCTTCAGGGGCTCGGCAAGCTCGTTGCTCAACTCTCTTAGCTCTCTAGGATGCACCATTAGGGTGTCATACGGAGGCGAATTTTTTTTTTTTGAGTTTGAAAAATCGGCCCATGGTATTAATGATGTAGTTCTATGTGCAGAATCATGTGATATCTTCAGATTTGAAAAGTTTTCATTTTTTGCTAGGTAAATTTTAACTTGAAATCTTATGAAAATTCAGTATTCCCACCCTTTTACCAACACCACTAAATAGCTTATTTAAAGTAAAGTAAATGTATCAGGTTAATTTATTAGGATGAAAATGATCCAGAATAGTGAAACGAATGATCTTGACACATTTATTAAATTTAATATTCCTTTAGAAAACAAAATCATCAAATACAAAAACCGGTTTTACTACTACGACCCGGTGTTGCTGCACACCATAGAGAACATGTCTTTCTTGCTTCTGTTTCTACTCATCACCTCCCTGCTGACCACCTGAGCTCGGATGTAGCCTTCCCTCCTCTCCTGGCTGCACACGTGACTGCTGGCCTCGCTCCACTTGCTGTACACAACGCTCTATACTCTGGGTGTGCGAGGGCCAGGCAGGGACATGCATGGGGTTGTCCAGGCTCTGACTTGAACATTGGTGAGGCTGCAGGTAAGAGGGGGCTCACTGCCAGCCTGGATGTTATCCAGATCTATGAGACCAGTGAGGTCTTGGCACCTAGATTGACTTCAGGAGTCTTCCTGACCCTGAAGGAATCGTCACCAACTGATTCGTCATGCCCAGATCCTCTCATAAGTCTTCATATCCAAGATCTTTTTGACTGCCACTCTTCTCGCCTCCTCATCCTTACTGCAGAGCATTGTCTGCAGAACTGCCTCGGGATGAGCATACCAGGAAGATCTCCTCACAGTCTGCTCCACAATTTGAACAACCTTCCTTGGCTGACTCCTCAGGAGCTCAAGCTGGAAGAGAACATGCCTCGGACCTTCGGAGAACGATGACTTGACCTTGGTGTTGAACCAATTTGGCAAGTAGACACTCACGATGAATTGGACAATAAGTCTCAAGTTGTGAAGCTGGTTCCCTTTCAGTTTATGATGAGCGACCCAAATTCTGCAGAACCTGAGAGCCGTTGTGAGCCACCTAGAATGTGAGACTGGACCTATCTGCAGGTAAGCAAGTCTATCAGGCATGACCCCAGTTTTGATGGCACTGCAAATCATGTAACCATAGTACTGGTCAGTACTCAGGACGTCAATGACAGTATGTGCAAGCTCAACGAGT